TATTAAATTAATTAATAAAAATAAAATATTTGTATATTTAATTCATATAAAGTATTAAAAATGTTGAAAAAATTTTGAATTTTATTTAAAAATTTAATTACAAATTATATAATTAAACTATGCAACGAAATCAAGCCCATAGCCTGGGGGTGAAAAATTCCTTATCGGCCATAGGTCAAGTGCCTGTGTTAGGCGGGGAGATTTTTTACTTTTAACTCTTAAGAAGAAACCCCTTTACAATTTTCTAGGCGGCTATTGTAGATTTTATATGGCATTTGTTCAGTGAGAATATACGAGGGATATTTTTGCAAAACATATGCTTCTTTTATCTCGAGTTCTCTTGTATATTTTTTGTCCTTATTTTTTTACCGTAAACTAAATACCATAAGACGAGATGTTTTAATATCCACTCTATAAAAATATCGCTCATAAGATTTTAGATAGGGTCATAAAAACCCGGAAATTTACATTCCAATGTTTTCAACGTCTTTTTCCACTGTTATCCGATCATTGTTCAGAAAATCGCCTTTATATGGGAAATTACAAAATTCTTTTAAAATTCCATTAAAAAAAAATGAAAAAATTTTTTGCGACCACATTCCTGATTTTTGGTACATAGGTTAGGGAAAATATGCTGATTCAAAATCTGCTCGCGTTCACAAATTCGAATGCTGCGCAGAAAAGTTATAGCGGTTTTAAATCTTGTATTTCAAATATAAATTAAATTAACTCCTATTTGTTGTAATTCGCGAATTTCTTCACAAATAGTTAAACACATTTGTTTTCTAGGCAAATCACATTGAAAGACGGTTTAATAGTCGCGAAAAACAAATAAAAGCTTGAAAATATCTGAAAATAAAAAAAAAATTAATTTTTGAATTGCCACAAAATGTTTTTTTTTCAAATTTTTGATTTTTTGGTATGGTTAAGATAATACGGTTTAGTCTAGATCTTCTACAACACGTGACGATTTCTTATACAAATTCTTTTAGATGATTGTTAAATATCGATAGATTCCTCTGTTAAGAGTTTTGACTTTAAAAATAACCAAATATATTGCAGTTACAGTATATGAAAATGATCAACATTAAAAGGCATGCAGTTCGCGTTTTCGTTGAAATCAGTTGATGCGCATGCGGTTTTCGTATAAACCGAATCAATGTCTTTCAATAATTATGAATTTTTCGATGTTTAATTTAGCGGTCAAAGTGTGCCGCGATGCAAAAACTCTAAAAATGACTACAAACCACGCAACGTGCATACGATTTTTATGCGCATCCGATTTCATTAATTCCTATAAAAATACACAAAAGGACACCTATTTTAAAAGGATCGGTAGAACCGCGATGTTCTCCACAATAGATTTTGGATAAAATACGCATATAATTCGCGTATCGATATATTTTTGACCTATTTTCACACAGATTCGCGAATATGATAACACAACAATGAATGTATGTGAAATCAATCGAAGAAAAACGCTAATTTGTCAAAATAAGTTTTTGCAGTTTCCCACATTCAAGGTAGGGGAGACCCCTTTGAATGAACAGCGCTCATAAAATCTTGGTTTAAACATTTTCCCACCTGCAACCACATTTTTGTATATGGCAATCTTGTTCTCTATCTGCGTAAACCACTTTGGCCCGCTTTTTCAGTTCTCGACAAAATGTGCATGGGTGACCATGTTTTCGCAGTGTCATTGTAAACTTTTATTCATTAGGTTGTAAGGGCGCAGGAAGAATTCTGTGATAGTTTTCTTTCGTCAAACAAATTTTTTGCATTCCAACAATCATTTCAAACATAACTAATGTAATTTCTTTCATATATATTTATTCAAAAAAAAAGTTATTATAAATTTTCGTAAAATGGCATGGGTGGGGCACCTTTGAACATGCCCATTAAACTCGATTTAAAATCGGAGTTTTTAACGTTTGGCTTCGATTTCTCAAAACTTCAAATGGCCTAATAAGATTACGAAATTAACTGCATTTTTCACCATATTAATTTTTGATTTTAAGTCATTTTATGTTTTAAAAAATGTTGATCTAATTTTTTTAATTTTTTTAAATTTTGAACATTTTTTATATATTTTTTAATGAATAAATGCATTTCTGATATGTATGAATAAAATACATACATATTTGAACATAAACACTGTAAAAAACCATGTCGTTCAAAAATGCCAACCCCTGGGGGGGCAGTTTTGAACACTTTGACTTCGTCCATTAAAACAGAAATAAAAGGTATTTATCAAGCTTAAAGTATGTCTATATGTATATGTATATTCATCTTAAAGACTACATATGTACCTATTAGTTAAAATTTATAAGAAACCAACAATTATAAAATAAAAAAAAAATTATAAGGCTTGAAAGAAAAAAGTGTTCAAAGGTGCCCCCTCTCCCCTACCTATATCCGCCGCTTTATTGGACGGAATTGAACATGGATGGGCTCATTAGATCCGGCACGTAAAAAAACTAAAATCACGCGGGGTTCCACGGAATTTAAATGGACTTTCTTAATTTTAGATTCAACAAATATGTTTTTTATAAAAATTTACGCACCAAATTTTCGTCTTTGGAACCCAATTGAAGAGAAGCTACGGTGAGCACATTCATGAGATATACACTAAACGAAGCAAAATCACGAGTTCTATAATCCTATAATCAGTTTAGTCCATTATCTGGAACGGCTGTTTAGATTTAGATGATCGATCAATATTTCGAAGGCCAAATCAACCAAAACCTAAATTGACAAAATTTTTATTTTTCTTATTCGCCTCGGGGAAAACACTATTTGGAAAATATGCCAGGGTAAGAAAGTGGAGCTGTTGTCCCCATAATCGGCCAAGAGGATGCAAATATCGCGTTTCAAGTAAGGTTTCTGTAAAAAACTATACCAAACAGGTAAAAATTCACATCAGTTACAATTTAAAGTTGAATTAGAAGAAGTGGCTACCATAACAGAACCCAAAATGGAAATTCTACATTAACGTATCGAACCTCTAAATATTAACCGAACATCTTCTTTATGGACTAGATTTCCTCCACCTTGTACTATTTCGTGTATTTTGGATCATCTTGTAGAAAAATAGGCAAAATTATAGATTAGGTCACAATATTGGAATGTGGGGATAATGAAATATATATTTACCCGAAACTATAAATGACATTGGGTTCAATATTTGGACTAATGGGGAGTTTTTCAAAAACAAACATTGAAGGTAGAAAGACAAAATTTGTGGTGCATAGCCAAAAAAATTTGGTCCCGCCGTTACGGTCGTTGATCTGTCCACGAATCATGCCATGTCGTCATCCAGCGATCGTACCCAAAAAGATCCTAAAGATATGGATATCATGTAGCTTCTGTAGTCGATAATATCGTTACAAGCACGTAGCCAACAGGCAAAATATGAATCTATCTTTTAGAATTACCGGGGAAAACAAATCTCGACACAACTTTCCGAGACAGGCAGTGGCTTAAATATAAATTCCGAGTCCGAACCTGAGGAACGAAGAGACTGGTAAGCCGCTACCTTGGTGACAAAGGCGGAAACTGGTCAGGCTGAATCGTAGAACCAAGTCCGACTTGCAAACAATTTCCCAGAAGAATAAGTTTCACTTTATTTCTTTGAGTCAACCCAAAGTTTAAGCAGACTGCCACAAGAGTCCATTGACTTTGGTCGATATAGATGGCTCTAATGTCTAGAAGACGAGGACCTGATCGGCATTTTTTTCTAAAGATCGAGAATCTCAAAACGAGTAACCAGACTTTACGAAAGAGGAGAACAGATGGTAAGGTTAAAGAGCCGCAATTTTTGGAAGGTTGCCAATTGGTTGTGTAATTGAGAGGAGCTCTGCTATGCTGTCTGTGATCGACGAGAATAGTGGTCACGTAAACTAAAAGAGGAGGGAAACTATTGGCAATTGTCTCCATGACTAACAAAGGCAATGATTTTCTTTTTAAAATTTATTGAAATTGCACAGGTAAATATTTGTGTTTCGCCATGTCTGTCTGTTGTAATCAAAATAGAGATCGTAATTTTTAAGATGGAGCTAAATTTGGATGTCACTACTCCTTGGATGTTTTGTGCTGTAAATCTGATATATCTGTCCACGGTTTGGTATAGCCCCCATATGGGGGCCGTATTCTGGGAACTTTCAAAACCTATCTGAACCAAATTAGCCGGAATTTGGTATTTAGAGATCCAGTGGTGCAGAACTCTTTCCAAAAAATTATATGAATTAGTCCAGATTTGCATTAAAGAAGTCCATGTAGGGTACATATACATATCTCAATTGGTCCGCAAATGTCGTTTTAATGTTCATCAGTTTTTGGTAAAAAAAGCATTTTTCCTTGTGTCACACTTCTACGGTGCCTCGAAATCCTGTTTCTTCTCCTACTCACCACGAAAATAACTCCATTGATTTTCCTCTCATTCCTTTTATATCTTAATAGGATATCCCCAATTGTAGTTCCTGCAATCGTTTGCAGAATTCCACAAAACCTCAGCATGAATCAATTACAAAATAATTGAACAAAAAATAAAACGATGATATATGCAGTGTGTGGTCAACGGAAATTCGGGATAAAAATTCTTTAACGAAGCATGGAAGATGGGAAACATCGTTAAGGAAATGAGAAATCAATCAGACAAATCCGACCACAAGCTAAGTGGAGAGAAAGGAATACAAAGGAGAAGAAATTTGCTGAGGCATTCAACCACTTTTTTTGGCGAATATTTTAGCCATCAGTGAAGAATAACTAATCGCATTTGGTAGTGGCAGGTTGCCATTACCTTGCGGCAGCCAAGGTTGACTGCAAGAGTGATAAATATAAAAACTGAAATTGATTTTTTTTTTTTTGGGAGGAAATGAACTCCCCCTTCCTTAGCATTAGATTACAAAGTAAATTCCCTTCTTTTCAAATAAAAAAAAAATATTAAATAAATTATTTATTTCACTATTAAAAAAATCACATTACAAAAAATTATATATCTCTTAAGCTAACACATTACTTTGTACCCACGACAAATGTTTGGCGACATCACAGAATACCACATATTCCAGCAGATTGCATTTCTGTTGTTTTGTTTGTCCCGCTGAGACGACGCCACGCAGATACCATCGTCCATTACGATTTATCATTAGACCACTACCAGAATCACCCATACATGGACCGCTACCATCACGATTGCCAGCACAAAATGTCCGCTTCGAAGTCAATGTACTATAGGCCTGCGATGATCTCAGGCAATCACTGTCACTAACAATATTCGTTTCAACTTTTTTCGGTATTGGGGTAAATGTTTCGCCATTTTCATCGCCACCCCATCCCGCCACCACACCTGTCTGGCCAACAATTAAATTCGAGTCGACCGGTTCACTCCATAAACATATTGGTCGTATAAAATTGGTGTATCTGAAACGAAGAATAATATATAATACGATTAAATGAGTTAGTAGGATGGTCAGAATATATATATATATATATATATATATATATGTAGAAATATCAATAGTCAGCAAGATTTTAATAATTACGGCGAGAGGTTAAAGAAATAGCGCACAGCTTTTTCCAATCTTCAAGCATCTAAGTTTGGAAAAAATATTAGGTTGGGGAAAAAGAAATGTATTACTTTTTCGACAGATGACTGTACCGTGGCGTAGGGGATGATAGATACCAAGCAACGGCTCTGATTGGCTTTAACATGGCGAAGTCTAGGTTTATCTTGGTCCCTCTTTCATCTCAATTGTGAACACTGACCTCCCCGCGGTGCCACCTGGGGTAGCTATTTTCATCACCCGATGAAATGGTGAGTTAATATGTGGTTGAGACGTCGGTATGAAAAAGCAAAGAAATAGAAAACCAAACCCCCCTAATGTTGACGACCCCCGCAAACGTATAAAGGACCACGATCTGCGAATCTGCACTTGGAATGTGCGCACGTTGTACAGAACAGACGCAGTGTTTGCTTTGGCGGATGTACTCAAGAAGTACAAAGCCGATATTATTGCCTTACAGGAAATACGATGGAAAGGGACTGGTGTAAGTAAGTCAGATGATTACGCCCTGTATTATAGCTGCCATGAAACGAGACATGAATTTGGCTGCGCATTTATGGTTAACAGGAGAATAAAAGACCTCGTCTCCAGATTCACTCCAGTAGATGAGTGAATTGCTATAATCCATATAAAGCGAAGTTCTTCTATTTGCGCAAGCAAATGAGGCAATCCTTGGAGTTGGCCGATCTGCGTCGATGGTGACGCATTTATGGTTAACAGGAGAATAAAAGACATCGTCTCCAGATTCACTCCAGTAGATGAGCGAATTGCTATAATCCGTATAAAAGCGAAGTTCTTCTACATCAGTCTCATTTGCGCCCATGCTCCGGCAGAATACAAAGATGAACAGACCAAAGACATATTTTACGAGCGCCTAGAAGCAGCATATAACCGTTGCCCTGGCCATGACATCAAGATTTTGCTAGGAGATTTTAATGCGAAAATCGGAAGGAAAAATGTTTTTGGCCCCGTCTTCGGAAAATTTAGCCTCCATGAAGAAACATCCGACAACGGCATGAGGTTGACTGACTTCGTGACAGCAAAGAACATGATAGATAGCAGCACCAGATTCAATCGTCTCGACATACACAAGACCACATGGATTTCTCCCGATCGAACAGCGAGAAATCAAATCGGTCATGTTGTGATAGACGGAAAGCATTTTTCCAGTGTTTAAGACGTCCGATCGATCCGTGGAGCGAATATCGATTCGGACCATTACCTTGTGGCAGCCAAGGTGCGCACCCGTCTTAATGTAGCAGCAAAGGTGCGATCTAATGTAACACGGAAATTTGACGTCGAAAGGCTGCAAACACAACAGATAGCAGAAGCCTACTCCGCTCAACTTGCCCACCTGTTCGACGAAAGCACCCCTTGTTCCGATAATAATATATAAGAACAATTCCAAAGAATTGCCCACTCCCTATAAACTGCAACACTTGGGTACCAAAACCCACCATCAAGAAAACCGCGGTACGATCAGTAGTGTAGTAATGCTGCTGATATGAAAAATGCAGCGTATAGGAAACCCTGCAGACAGTAACAACACGTAATGCGATGGGGAACTATCGGGAGAAAAGGAGAAACGTGTTTTCAGAAAAATGAACAAGAAGTACGTAAGTAGGAGCAAATTGAGATTTACAGAGGTCAGAACGAAGTCCGGAAACTTTACAAGGAGTAAAAGACCAAAACCGAAGGCTTTGATGCAGGCATATCCTCCTGTAGAAATGAAGAAGGAAACCTGGTGACAGATACATACAGCGTGTTGAGGATCTGGAAGGAGCATTTTGAAAAGCTTCTGGTATCAATTATTGGCGGTGAGGAAGATACCCCAAAATCAATAAGAGATGATGGTATAGATTGCATACTACCTAGCCAAAATGAGGTCAGAATAGCAATCAATCGGCTGAAGAATAATAGAGCAGTAGTGCCGATTCGGTTACCAGCCGAACTATTGAAGGCCGGTGGTCAGATGCTGGTCAGGAGCATGCACCAGCTGATTAGTACAATTTGTCTAGAGGAATGCATGCCCAATGATTGGAACATCGGCATCCTGTGTCCCGTGCACAAAAAAGGTGTCAATATAATATGTACCAACTATAGAGTAATTAGTCTCCTACCCATCGCATATAAAGTGCTATCCAGCGTGCTGTGTGAACGACTGAATCCAATGACCAATGACATTATTGGACCTTACCTATGCGGCTTCAGACCTGGAAAATCCACTATTGACCAGATTTTCACTCTGCTCCTGGAAAAGAACCTCGAAAAACCCATCGACACATTCCATATTTGTCGACTATAAAGCCGCACTCGACAGCCCTATCCGTTCAGAGGTATTTGAAGTCATGTCTTCCTTCTGCATTACTGCAAAATAAATACGGCTATGCAGGACAACTTTAACTGTCACAAGATCAGCAGCTAAAGTCGGAAAGGACCTATCGGAGCCCTTTAAAACCGAACGATCATTCATCATTCACGAGGTGACAGTTTGTCGTGTGATCTTTTTAACATCCTGCTTGAAAAGGTCAAACGAGACGCAAAGGTGAACAGAAATTGCATTCTGTAAACCAAACAACATATGTTATTCGCCTACGCCGATGACATCGACATTATGGGTCGAACATTGCGAGCGTGAACAGCCACATTGAAAAAATTGACAAAGAGTCTGCCTGCCATGGGAACTGGTGCCCTTGTTTACATGTATAAATGAACTCGATCTCTGCGTTCTATTTTAGTCATTTTATATGGCGGTTTCTCATTTATTCTCCGAGCATTTTCTTTTTGCACACCTCTACTGTAAATTGTGAGAAGACTAGGCCAATGGACCAACTATGGAAATTGAATACTAAAGATTCGAGGAAGTCAACGATTTTATATACCTTGGTACCGCCATAAATAAAACAAATGACATCAGTTCTGAAATTCGGAGAAGGATTGTGATGGCCAACAGATGCTACTTTGGTCTAAATAATCAGTTTAAAAATAAGATCACCACTCGCCAAACCAAACTCACACTCTGCAAGGCGCTGATATAAACTTTGCTATTGTATGGGTCCAGAGCATGGGTACATGCGCAAGCAGATGAGGCAGGCAGTGCTTGAGATAAAATTTCTACGGCCGGTCTGCGTCGATGGTGAATATCGCCGTCGAATGAACCATGAGCTATACCATCTATTCTCGGACATCGACATAGTCAGGCGGATCGAGCTGCAGCACATACGTTGGCTAAGCCATCTTGTGAGAATGGATGAAGATGCCCCAGCTCAAGAAGTATATAAAAGCGAGCCATGTCCGTGAAGATAAATTTAAAATTTAACTAGCAAAGACACCAACCACCAAACCTTTTCGCTGGTTCACATAGGGTTAAGGTAGAGAGAGTGAGAGAATGCGAAATTGCAGAACTAAATTGAGAGAGAGGGTGTGTGAGCGTAATTGAGAATGTGCCACAATTTGCAGAACAGAATTGTGCGCAGTGTGTGAGCGTATTTGACAATGCGCCACCAATTTGCAGAACTAAATTGCGGCCGGCCTTATACAAATTCCATATAAAATACCCCATTGTAAAAAAATTAAGAAGGATGCGGGGTTGAGGGGTGCTCAAACGAAAGGTCTAAGAGTTTACTTTCAAAATATGTGGACCATATATGCAAAAAGTGTTTCGGAGATGGGAATATTTCCGATTTTCCGACAGCTCATTGGTTTAGTAGTCATTTCTGGCCTAAAGGTCAGTCCTTGCCTTAAGAACTATTTGAGACTTTGAATTAATGTTCAAAAACTTTCAAATGCTAGTTTCTCTACAGGGCGTAAATATGACCCCAACATCGTGAAAAGGTACACTGACGTTGGGATCTGAGGAACTAATGAGAAAGTGCCGTGAAATAGAGAATTTTAATACAGGTCATAATTGTTATACAATTGCCATGAAATTTTCCGATATAATTATATAATTTGCACAGATTTCATGTAATGGTCGTGGCAATGGTGCTACATTTATCCGAACTATTCAAATTGTTTTTAGTTCAATCACTCAGTCACGATATAGATTTATTTATACTTTTTCAAAATTAATATTTAAAAATAGTTTTTTTAAATACTTAATAAATTACTTCCACTTACTCAACTGGTTTCTGCAAATGTAAAATTGCCAAATCGGCATCGGGAAATATCGCTGATGTAAATTCGGGATGAGTGATAAGATTTTGAATTTCTCTGGTTTGGAAATTTTGTTCGCTATAATCTTCGAGATTATGACGACCGACATTGACAACTAAACGATCCGCAGTTAAAGCACCAATTTTAAAGCAATGAGCAGCTGAGAGTACCGTTCTCGTCGATAACAATGATCCGCCGCATAGGAAACGCAATCCAGCAGACTTAACATAAATCGCCGTCAACCATGGAAATTGACCGGGGGCAACTTGTTGTCCACCAAAAATGAAGGGGGTAACACTTGAATCCTGACCGCATATATTTTCGGTGCCCCGTTGATTTAGATTAAATCTTGAACCAATATTTTGTTGCACGGGCGTTACTACTTGGTTAACTGGTTGCACTTGTCGCACCTGTGGCGATTGTTGTCGAGGTTGTTGCTGTTGTTGTGGTCCAACTTGTTGTGGTATTTGTTGAACTCGAGGCGTTTGTACTACTTGGTGTAATTGTCGAACTTGTGGCACCTGTTGTATTTGTGGCTGTGGTTGTTGTAATATTCGATTATTCGGATTACCACGAAAAGATCTGAAATTTATATTCGGATCTTGATAATACAATGGTTGTGTGGCTACTTTTATGTTATTACTCTGCAGGTGATGCTTTAAATATAAACGGGTACTTGGTTGGGGGTCTGCAAGGGGAAATTAGTTTATGATTATATTTTTTGAGGTTATTTATAAGGGCTGACAACTTACATTCCGTATCCACACAAATATCTTGCCCATTTACCATTATCCGCGACAGTTTGGGTATTTCTGTTGTCGAGGGGAACTCTATTTGATATGAAACTGGTTCTCCGGGCTGTATTTGATTGACATTGGCCTTGCTACTTTCTGTAAGATATATTCGGCCATAATAACCCTATAAAATAAAAAATACAAAACAAAACCATAGAATATCTATTTTTTCATGGGGATTAAAGCATTGGTTCTTTACGAAAAATTGTCCTAATATTAATCGAGCTGGTCGAATACTAATAAATGTCTGAATTTCCAATCAGATGTTTATGTATCAAATTAACAATTATTTTCATGAAAACCAATTAGTAAATATTTTATTTGTGTTGACTAAATATTATGTTTGTCTTATTTAGTGAAAACAATCTGGGATCATTTTCAATAATTTATTCAAATGTATTCAATTGATTTGTTAACATATCGGAACTTCCACAACACCACATTTTAATCTCTATTGTTTTCCATAGCTCATAGATGCCGTTGAAAATAGTCATTTAACAGTGACTAATAATTGTTTACTAATTTCGACGAATTAACAATATTTATAAACCGGTTATTCACCAGCAGCTCATCTGCTTGGTGCACGTTATGGTTGTATCTAATCATAATATTGAAAACAAAAATTATAGGTTATCAAATGATTGAATGAATGTGAAGAGAAGCATAAACAAATGTTTATTAAAATAATCAGTCATTAAAATGTGTCATATCGGGGATTTTCTTATAACTATTTGAAATCCACAAATTGAAATAATAAACAAATACGAAATTTATTTACTATTGTTGACTTTTCATGACATGCTAGAATCTTGAAATTTTAAGTGTGGGTTGTTGCTGATTTGTAGGCGTGAGATGAGACTGGGTTTTTGGAAATCCGAAGTAGAAGGGTACAATTTTTTTTAAGCAATAGATGTATAGTGGTTTTTGGAACCGATCATGGCCTTGTGGCTAGGTTCCCATTCATGAAAAAAATAAATAAATTTAAATTGAATTGAAAATTACTAAAATGTACTAAATATGACACCCTTTGTATTAGGCAAACGGGAAGAGCCAGAATTCTGAAATTTAGAATGTGGGTCACTGACGGAAATTAGAAAAACTTTTAAAAGGGTTTTTGGAAATTCGACCTATAAGTGTAAAAAAAGTACTAAACTTTACTAAATTTAGTTCTAATTGTGTATATTTTGAACATACAGGGTGAGATGAAAAAAACTGCAACCACTGGTCCGACAGCTAGTGACAGCTCATTATATTGTTTACAAGCGTACAAAAACATTCTGGTGAGAACTTTCCAAGAAAAAAGTGATGAAATTCAAGCGTGATAGTGTGATTTCTTGATATTTGGCTGAAAAGCAACAAGTGGCTATCGTTAGAGCACTCCAGCATTTAAGGGAACCCCACCCATTCCCGATTTTAATTTTTCAAGATTTTCAATGGGCTGGTAAATCAATTCCAATGCTTGTTAAGGTTTGTAACTTTGCACATATGTATTTGAAGATTTAAAAGAGAAGAAAAATAATTTACAAAAGTTTTTTGTTATTGTTTTGTTGTTTTTTTTTGTAATTAAAGAGAGGTGGGCATGATAACTTCTCACTGGAACATCGGAATCCGAAAATTCCAACGGTGTTAGAAAGAGTACATGTCTGGCTCTCGTATGAACTAGGATTATTGACTTCGGTCTAAAAATAACAAAATGGATTAGTGTAGATTCGAATTAAATAAAAAAAAATGACCCCGAGAATGGGGGGGTCCCCTTAAATTTGAATAAATCTTTTGTGTCTCCTACCATTTCTGCCCATGTTGTTGTTTTCTTCCGTCCACTTCCTTGATGTCGGGCTACGCTCATCGCTCGTTACCAGTATCACGGCACCGACGTCAAGGAAGTGGACGGATGCATACAGCAACATCAGCAGAAATGGTTCGAAAACTAAAGAAGCGACTTGATCGAAACCAGCATCGCAGTGGCCGAAAAATGGCTCGTGAGCTGAACATATCGCAATATTACATTCGTCAAATATTAAAAAATGAGCTCGGGGTAAAGCCATTGAAATTCCAAAAAGTGCAAGAACTTACACCGCAACTGAAAGAAAATAGACACAAAAGATCTAAAGAGTTGCTTCGCTTGGTCGAAAGTGGTGAAGTGTCGAATTTGCTTTTCTCCGACGAGAAAGCATTCGTTGTCCAGCAGTTTGTAAACAAACCACATGATCGTGTTTACTTGCCAAAGAGGTCAGCTGAAAATGTGCCACCAGAACTCAAGCGCCGGCCATGATGATTGTGTGGGCCGCCATAATAGCCGATGGTCGCTCTCCGCTCGTATTAATCGACTGTGGTATCAAAATAAATACCGAATATTCTGGAGGGTGTTTTAAAGCCTTAGGCACGCAAACATTATGGCCGCAGACCTTGAACAGGAACAGGGCTCAGCAAATGATCCAAATGAGCGCACAATAGCCACCATAAACTTCGGATACCAATCCGTTGGACTATTGTGTCTGGAGTATTTTAGAATGCAAGGTTGGCACTAAAAAAACACCAAAGTGTCGATCACCTCAAACAAGCGCTTCGCCGGGAATTGGCCAAAATACCGCAGAGCAACATTCGGGCATCGTGTGACAGTTTCATTGGCCGTTTGAAGGTCATAATTCATTCCAAAGGGAACCAATTCGAACAAATCTAAATTTATTCTAAAATTTGATGCTATTTCCGATATTTTTTGCTTTCATTTAATAAAAATTAAAAAAATAAAAAATTATGGCGTTAGACTTTGTTGCTGTTTTTTTACATAGAATACAGGTTGGGAAGTGGTGCAGATGTATGGAAATTGGATTTGGCTGAAGGAAGGAAGCTGGAAACTTAAAATTTGGAATAATGATTGCTGTTTGAGTTTATAATGGAGATATAGAGGTATAGTACTTATGTGTTCAAAATTGTACTATATTTGGTACAACTTTATTATGTGTGAACAACGGAGAGAGCTGGACTCCATAATTTTCGAATTAAAATTACAGCTAAAGTGCAGGATTGATATAGTGTTGGAAGTCCAAACTTATAAGTACGAAAAGTACTAAATATGGTACAAGTTAGATCTATGATATCGGATAGGGCAGGGATCCCGAAATTTATGATTAAAAATACTGTTGGAATGTTGAATTGCGGAAGTTTTGGAAATGTAACAAATGGTACTAAATTTGGTACAATTTGGATGTTGGTGAACAGAGAGAGCTGAAATCCTTAAATGTGAACTTAAGATTATTATTTGAGTGCATGGCTGCGGTAATTTTGGAAATTCGTACTTATGGTGCGAGTAGTACTAAATTTGGACTTTTGGGTAGAATTTGGAATAATGATGGCTGTTTGAGTGTATAATTGAGATATTTAGGTATAGTATTTATGTGTTCAAGATTGTACTATATTTGGTACAACTTCATTATGTGGGAACAACAGATAGAGCTGGACTCCATACATTTCGAATTAAAATTACTATTAGAGTACAGGATTGAGATAGTGTTGGATGTCAAACTTGTAAGTACGAAAAGTACTAAATATGGTACAAGTTAGATGTATGAGATCGGATAGGGCTCGAATCCCGAAATTTATGATTTAAAATACTGTTAGAATGTAGAATTGAGTAAGTTTTGGAAAATCGTATTTATGTCTACGAAAAGTAACAAATGGTAGTCAATTTGATACACTTTGGACTTAAGACTATTATTTGAGTTTTGGAAATTCGTACTTATGGTGAGAGTTGTACTAAATTTGGACTTTTGGTTAGAACTCTAATCCTGAGATTACTGTCGAAGTGTAGGATTGAGATAGTTTTAGAATATGGGTACGAAAAGTACCGAATTGTAGCAGATGTGGTACAATTTGGATTTTGGTGAACATATAGTGCTGTAATTCTTAAATTTGGACTACTATTGGAAATCAGGATTGATGTAGTTTCGGAAATTCCTACTTACGAATACGATAAGTACTAAATTTGGTATAATATGGACTTTGGTGGAATTAAGATTACTGCTAGAGTGTAGAATTGATCTATTTTTTTCAATTTGGATTTGGATGAATTTATAGGGTTGGAATCCTGAGATTTTGGAAATTCGAATTTATGTGTACGAATTGTACTAAATGCACTAAATTCGGAACAATTTGAATTACTGTTGGAATGTAGAACTGAGATATGGGGGTAATTTTTAAAATTAATACTTATGTGAAGTAAATTTGGTAAATTTGATTATGTGTCAACGAATAGAGTTGGACTCCTGATTCTGGAATAAAAATTACTGTTGGATTGTATGATAGATGTAGTTTAGGGAATTCGTACTTATGGGTTCTAAACGATACGTAATTTAGTACAATTTGGATTTTGGAATTTTGGAACGGATAGTGCTGAAAACTTAAATGTTGTGTTTGCTGTTTGAGGCTAGAATTTGAGACATGCAGGTAGTCTTGAAAACGTGTACTTCGAAAAGTGAATGGAACTAAATATAGAACTTGTACGTATTTGCTAAAATATATAATTGGAACTCTGATCATATATTTCGGAAATTAGTGCTTATGTGTATGGCTGGAAATAAATTTAGTAAACCGATATAACAGCTAATTGCCAGTGATTGCGAAAATATTTCATCACAGAAAATTGTTTTGGAGAACTATATCCTAAAAAATTTCGTGATGTACTGAGGTACAAATTCAACGGAATTGATGAGGGGGTTTTCGTTGAATGTAACCTTAAGAACAGAGCGTCGACGAGCTATGGTAGAATGGAGGAGGGTCAATAGTGGTATTTGCTTTCTATGGAGTTCAATCTATTTACGAGACTTATGTAGTAATGGAACGGATTGTTTATACAAATGTGCTGAAAAAGCTATAATTCCCTTCGCTGTGGAAGATATACCGCTCTTTTGGGTGTTTCAGGTTGATAATAACATCTAACAAGACATGTATCATAGAAAGCAAAATCAAAAGAGATGCAGAAACAAATAAAGATTAAGGATACGAGGAATAGTATATCCATGGATCAAATTGGGCATCTTGTAGATTCAACTCCTCGTAGGTGTGCTGTTGTAATCAAAATTTATGGTTACACAGTCGATTACTAGCTAACTTTACTTATTAAAAAAAAACAATTAATAAATAAATAAGAAATATGTTTTAGTCGCGTCCAAGCAAACATTAGGACAATTTAGTTTTCCATAGATTAGTTTTTATTTCAAAATACATTTTGCGTTTATATTTTTTTTAAGTGTTTTATTTTTTCAGAAATAACTAGGTAGTTTTGGCCACCCTTTGTTAAAATATTAAAAATCAGTTTCAAAATTATTTGTTGTTCATTTCTTAATCGGATTTATAAAGACATATCTCCTTACAATTGGATTGATAAAACCCAATTGATCTGTATAGAGATCACAGTTCTTTATAAATACGAATTGCTATGTATAGAATACAGGGGTTTATGTAGTCGAAGTGATATATATAGAGACCAGTCTGCCGAGACACCGTAGGCCTTTATAAAGTCTGTACAGAAAAAAGGGGATCAAAAATACCAATTGGTCCTTATTAAGACCAGTAGTATCTAAACGGGCCAATTGGTCCTTATAAATCTCAATATTTCCAAAACATACTTTTGAACCCTTGTTTTCTCTATACAGGTCTCTCAGCAGACCTGTGGTATCTATTCACTTCCAATTGGTATTCATAAAGTCCTGAGGTCTGTATACAGATCAAATCGGCTAAGTAAACCCCTGTTATATATACATACCAGATTATTTTAGTTTCTTTGCAAAAAAGCACTCTCGGCCCATTAAAGGTTGACCAAATTTGTAGGTCTATATAAGTAGTTTGAAATAACTCACAACATTATATTTTTCCTGCAGTCAATAAATATAATGTCTCGTTTTATTAGACTACTTGACTTGGGGAAAAAAGAAATCAATTTTTTTGTGTGAATGGTGGTCGATTTTTAGCTCCTGGGCAATGTTATCAATATTTTCGACGAGGCCTACCTATGGGAGGTGCATCTTCAACATCAAAAATTCCTGAAAGGAATCTACGAAACCAAAATTGCACATAATTGGCTGCTACAGTATCAGAACCATAAATATCATTCACAATTTTAGTCACTTGGCTTGCATTTTCGTCTTTTTCAAAGAAGAGCTGTAAATGCACTTTGTTCACTTCCATTTTAACACTCTGGAACTCACAACTGAATGCACCAAACAAAAAACTGCAAAATAGTTTTTTTTTTTTTTTGCTGGGAAAAGTGACCCTTCCAACGGGCATAAATCTGATATTGTTTGATCGATAATATACGAGAAATCTATCAGTACAGCCATCTGCCGAAAATATAATGTTTTTTTTCCCAAACCTTATATAACATCGTGAATGGAGATTATTTTCAAAAAAATTTAAATTTGTTCAACAGTGTACTTAACTGATCATTCAAAATCGAATGAATTTGGTTTCTGGAAGTAATGATTTATTTAACAAATTTGACTTTTCCAATTATATTTATAAAATATTCACTCAATTACCGTATCGATTGGTTCCCGTTGACTTAGGTGGACAACCAAATCCATATAACTCGTTGTTAGGGGTATTGTCAGCAAACCAATGTATTCTCCTTCGAATTGAATGTATTGAAAATAACGAGGACATCCTGTGGGTGGTAAAGCTGGCGCTTGTGGCTGTGCTGGTTGAAATCCAAATCCGAATTGTTGTTCGGTGTTATTTATAAAATTCAAAACAACTACTAAAATTGCAACAAATCTAAACATATTTTTTTATTTTTATTCAACAGGTTTTTCTCTTTCTATTGAGGTATGTATGAATGATTCCACTTTCTATTTAATTTTTAATATGGGTGGAGGTATTTTTTTCACTATTTAATTAACACATTATTGTGAAATTGTCATAAACAGCAACAACTATTTACGCTACGAGATATCCCAACGACAATAAAAAACAACAAAACGAACTGAAATCAATATTTTAACACTTTCAATATTTCCGCGATTACCGTTCTTGACGGCACTTAATTACAGACTGGATTGTTGTTACATGCGAAATTTCAAACAGTGCCCCTACCTCCCTTTGAAAGTAAATATTAACAAGAAGATGCATTGCAAAATGGAATGTTCTGAAAAAAGTAAAATAAAAAAAAACACAGCAAATCTGTTTGTTTTCATTATCGATTGGGACGTGATCAATATAAAATATCCCCGTATTTTGTTGTTATTTCGTCGTTGTTGGGGTATAGCTGTTACTTTTTGATTATTAAAACTTGTTATATTTTATTCACCACTGATTTGACCACAAAACGACACATGGTCATTGACTTTTTTTTTGATAATTTTAATGAATTCGTATTTAAATGAGACTGACATCTTGAAATGTGATTTATATTAAATGAGGAGGAAACATTTAGGGCTTACACTCGCTGCCGATTTTTCAAAATGAACTGTTAACGGTTGTCGCAGGTGCTATGAATACCCACCGATTACTTAACTTGTCGCATAATATATCAATTTATTTTAATGAAAACAATAATAAATAATGTTATTCTCGATGAGGAATATATTAATTCATAAAAGGAAATAAAAATAAACATCGTGTTTGAAAAGAGGTAACTCTAAATTAAATTGGATACTGTGCAACAAGATTTTGGGGGATGTAAGCCCTTGGTGAAAATATTAAACCATTTCGTTTCGAGATTTAATTTTTATTTTTGTTATTAAAAAAAACCTTTTTAATGGCAAATGATCCCTCGTGCCCCCGTTGCTGGTTTTTGGTCATGATCGGTTAATATTTAGAGATGAAAGTGACCTAAAACTTTATTTTTGTCTCTTTTTCTGGTAGCTCTAGAGCCCAAAAGTATGACCCGAACATCTCGAAATTTTGCATAGAGATAGGGATCTGGCCATAGAATATGCATGAATATTTTAATGAATATTCGAGAAGTTAATAGTATATCCAAGAGGAAGACCCGTACCATTTTCGGTAATGTTAATATGATATTTAGGGGTGCAATTAACCGAAAACGTTATCTTTGCCAAATGTTATAGTCGCTCTAGGGGTCGTTAACGAATGTAGGTAATATTTAAACACATATTACATATTATTTCATTTTCGCAGAAAACTGCATATGTCAGACAAACTAAACAATCCACACATTAATATCGACCATAAATTGAATTTGAGTACCATTTAGTACCAAATTTCATGATTCGAGCTCACCCAAATCCACATTATTTCCAAAAATACCCTTCTCAATCATCCAACAAAATTTCCTGCATACCCCGATCCTAATTGTACTAAATTTAGTACATAGTAGTACCAATTTCCAATCCTTCCTACATACCTCAATCCTACACCTCCTTAGTGATCCTAAATCAAAATTTCGGGATTCCAACTCAATCGCTTCACCCACAATTGTACCAAATTTAGTACAAATTTCTAAAACTTCCTACATACCCACACCCTACACCTCCACATGTGATCGTAAATCCAAGTTTCAGGATTCCAACTCTATCGGTTCAATCACAATTGAAATTGTACCAAATTTAGTACACATTAGTACAAATTTCTAAAACTTTTACATATCTCTATATTACACCACCACACTGATCCTGACTCCAAATTTCATGATTCTAGCTCTATTGGTTCACCTAAAATTCAAATTGTACCAAATTTAGTACTTTTCGTACACATAAGTAACAAATTTCCAAAACTACGTTTATATCCCAATCCTACACTCCGACGGAATTGTTAATTTCAATTTTCAAGATTCCTGCTCCATTTGTATCTCCAAATTAAATTTGCACAAAAAATATAGTACCATATAGTACTTTTCGTACACATGTGTACACGCTTTCAAACCCATCACCTTAAATAGACCCTACATCTCAACCCTTAGTTGCATTCCACATTTCAAGTTTTTAGCCCTATTCATTCACATGCTACGAATTTGTACCAAATTAAGTACATTTTAGTACTTTTCGGACAGTTATAGTTCGAATTTCCAAAAACCCTTTGCTACATCTATCATACCCTCCACTCAACGACCACCAATCCAAATTTTAGAGTTCTGGCTCCACCGGTTCGCCAAATACAAATGGTATCACATTTAGTGCTTTTTAGTACTTTTCGTACCGTTCCAGTACGAATTTCCAAAAACCCAGCCTTATCTGTCACCTTTGGCCCAAGAGTAACCCTCGCCCAAAATTTCAAGATTCTAGCTTCAACCGTTTCGTCTGGGCGTTGATGAATCGGTAAATCAGTCAGTCAGTCAATCACTTTTGTACCGTTCTAGTACGAATTTCTTAAAACCCAGCCTTTTCTGTCACATTTTGACCAAGAGTGACCCTCACCAAAAATTTCAAGATTCTAGCTTCAGCCGATTCGTCTGGGCGTTGATGAATCGCTAAATCAGTCAGTCAATCAGTTTATTTTTTTATTAGTATAGATATCACATATTTTACACTGTGATGGGGATTTGACCAAATATGATCGGTCAATATTACGAGGGTTATATCAACCAAAGAATAAAATGACAAAATTTTTATTTGAAAAATATGCCAGTTTTAGAAAGTTTATATATTGACCTATAATCGGTCAAGAGGTTGCAAATATCGCGAAAAATGCCCAGGCTCAGAATATAAAACCACAGAAAGTTTGATATTCTTGGTAGTTGTGTAGGGTATCTTATGGTTGGCCCCGACCGTATATACAGCTCCGCTCACTGGTTCACAATATATTTTTAACCGAATTTTTGGGAAACCCCCGATTAAACTTCATCTCATTTAAAAGCTAGAAACATTGCTAATCAAATGAATTAAGTTGCAAGCTTAAGAGTGGAATTGTATAGTTACAGTAAAAATATTTTCACGCTAGAAGAAGAAAGTTTAGCTAAGCCGACTTTGGCCTGGGTTTCAGCAAAGGCTTTCATCCCCACACACACCCAAAATGTTGAAAATGCTATATTAAATACTGGTACTAAGGCAAATTATGTCGTTATTGTTTTGAATGCTTATTTACATTGGTTAAGTGATTTTGTATGCCGTTATCACATTCCGAATTTTAATTTCATTTTTTCTATTCTTTATTATGGCGGTACCAAGGTATATAAAGTCTTCAACTACCTCGAAGCTGTAGTTCTCAAGTTCAACAGTTGGTCCGAGTCTACTGGACGTCTTGCGCGTTGATACCATCAGCTTGGTCTTCTCGCCGTTTACTGCCAGACCCACTTTGGCATACTCCCTTTCAATTTGTTCAAAGGTGGCTGTTACCGCTCGCAATGTTCGACCCATTATGTCGATGTCGTCGGCGTAGGCGAGTAACATGTGTTGTTTGGTGTACAGAGTGCCATTTCTGTTCACCTTTGCGTCTCGTATGACATTTTCCAGTAGGTTGTTAAAAAGATCACACGACAAACTGTCACCTTGTCTGAATCCTCGTTTGGTATTGAAGGGCTCCGATAGGTCCTTTCCTACTTTAACTGCTGACATTGTGCCATTTAAAGTTATCCTGCATAGCCGTATTAATTTTGCAAGAATGCCGAACGCAGACATGGCTTTAAACACCTCTGAAGGGATAGGGCTGTCGAATGCGGCTTTATAGTCGACGAATAGGTGGTATGTGTCGATGTGTTTTTCGTGGGTCTTTTCCAGGATTTGGCGCAGAGTGAAAATCTGGTCGATGGTAGATTTGCCAGGTCTGAAGCCGCATTGGTATGGTCCGATGATGTCATTGACCATTGGCTTTAATCGTTTACACAGCACACTGGATAGTACTTTATATGCGATGGGAAGGAGACTTATTCCTCTATAGTTGGCACATATCGTCTTGTCTCCTTTTTTGTGAACGGGACACAGGATGCTGAGGTTCCAATCATTGGGCATCCATTCATCTAGACAAATTGTGCTAATCAACTGGTGCATGCTCCTGACCAGCATCTGGCCACCAGTCTTGAATAGTTCGGCTGGTAACCCATCGGCTCCTGCTGCTTTATTGTTCTTGAGCCGATTAATTGCTTTTATGACCTCATCTTGGCTAGGTGGTATACATTCTATACCATCATCTCTTATTGGTTTCGGGGTATCTTCTTCATCGCCACTATTTGATACTAGAAGCTTTTCGAAATGCTCCTTCCAGATCCTCAACACGCTGTCTGTATCTGCCACCAGGTTTCCTTCTTCATCTCTACAGGAGTATGTGCCTGCACCAAAGCCTTCGGTTTGGTGTTTAACCCGTTGGTAAAATTTCCGGACTTCATTCTGACTCCTGTACATCTCGATTTGCTCACGTTTTTCTTGTTCTTTCTTCTTTTTTCCGGAAAATACGTTTCTCCTCTCTCCTTTTCTCCCGATAGTTCTCCATCACATTACGTGTTGCTACTGTCTGCAGGGTTGCCCTATACGCTGCGTTTTTCACATCAGTAGCATTACGACACTCCTAATCGTACTATGGGTTTCTTGGTGGTATTGAAGGGCTCCGATAGGTCCTTTCCTACTTTAACTGCTGACATTGTGCCATTTAAAGTTATCCTGCATAGCCGTATTAATTTTGCAAGAATGCCGAA